CCGTACCTTTGATACGCCTTTCATTGGCTAATCAGCATGATATGCAAATTAACCACCAACAAAGATGGCGGTTAATTTGCATATAACAGCTGGGAGGGAAGACTGAAGACAAAATGGAAGTGAAGCTCTACAGAAGGGAGCAAAGTAGAGGCGGTGGAGACAGGAACGGAGCCAAGACTGCAGACGCGGGAGGCCTGGGAGCTGAGGGGAAACCCAGCAGGAGAGGCTGGGAGCTGAGGGGAAACCCAGCAGGAGAGGCTGGGAGCTGAGGGGAAACCCAGCAGGAGAGGCTGGGAGCTGAGGGGAAACCCAGCAGGAGAGGCTGGGAGCTGAGGGGAAACCCAGCAGGAGAGGCTGGGAGCTGAGGGGAAACCCAGCAGGAGAGGCTGGGAGCTGAGGGGAAACCCAGCAGGAGAGGCTGGGAGCTGAGGGGAAACCCAGCAGGAGAGGCTGGGAGCTGAGGGGAAACCCAGCAGGAGAGGCTGGGAGCTGAGGGGAAACCCAGCAGGAGAGGCTGGGAGCTGAGGGGAAACCCAGCAGGAGAGGCTGGGAGCTGAGGGGAAACCCAGCAGGAGAGGCTGGGAGCTGAGGGGAAACCCAGCAGGAGAGGCTGGGAGCTGAGGGGAAACCCAGCAGGAGAGGCTGGGAGCTGAGGGGAAACCCAGCAGGAGAGGCTGGGAGCTGAGGGGAAACCCAGCAGGAGAGGCTGGGAGCTGAGGGGAAACCCAGCAGGAGAGGCTGGGAGCTGAGGGGAAACCCAGCAGGAGAGGCTGGGAGCTGAGGGGAAACCCAGCAGGAGAGGCTGGGAGCTGAGGGGAAACCCAGCAGGAGAGGCTGGGAGCTGAGGGGAAACCCAGCAGGAGAGGCTGGGAGCTGAGGGGAAACCCAGCAGGAGAGGCTGGGAGCTGAGGGGAAACCCAGCAGGAGAGGCTGGGAGCTGAGGGGAAACCCAGCAGGAGAGGCTGGGAGCTGAGGGGAAACCCAGCAGGAGAGGCTGGGAGCTGAGGGGAAACCCAGCAGGAGAGGCTGGGAGCTGAGGGGAAACCCAGCAGGAGAGGCTGGGAGCTGAGGGGAAACCCAGCAGGAGAGGCTGGGAGCTGAGGGGAAACCCAGCAGGAGAGGCTGGGAGCTGAGGGGAAACCCAGCAGGAGAGGCTGGGAGCTGAGGGGAAACCCAGCAGGAGAGGCTGGGAGCTGAGGGGAAACCCAGCAGGAGAGGCTGGGAGCTGAGGGGAAACCCAGCAGGAGAGGCTGGGAGCTGAGGGGAAACCCAGCAGGAGAGGCTGGGAGCTGAGGGGAAACCCAGCAGGAGAGGCTGGGAGCTGAGGGGAAACCCAGCAGGAGAGGCTGGGAGCTGAGGGGAAACCCAGCAGGAGAGGCTGGGAGCTGAGGGGAAACCCAGCAGGAGAGGCTGGGAGCTGAGGGGAAACCCAGCAGGAGAGGCTGGGAGCTGAGGGGAAACCCAGCAGGAGAGGCTGGGAGCTGAGGGGAAACCCAGCAGGAGAGGCTGGGAGCTGAGGGGAAACCCAGCAGGAGAGGCTGGGAGCTGAGGGGAAACCCAGCAGGAGAGGCTGGGAGCTGAGGGGAAACCCAGCAGGAGAGGCTGGGAGCTGAGGGGAAACCCAGCAGGAGAGGCTGGGAGCTGAGGGGAAACCCAGCAGGAGAGGCTGGGAGCTGAGGGGAAACCCAGCAGGAGAGGCTGGGAGCTGAGGGGAAACCCAGCAGGAGAGGCTGGGAGCTGAGGGGAAACCCAGCAGGAGAGGCTGGGAGCTGAGGGGAAACCCAGCAGGAGAGGCTGGGAGCTGAGGGGAAACCCAGCAGGAGAGGCTGGGAGCTGAGGGGAAACCCAGCAGGAGAGGCTGGGAGCTGAGGGGAAACCCAGCAGGAGAGGCTGGGAGCTGAGGGGAAACCCAGCAGGAGAGGCTGGGAGCTGAGGGGAAACCCAGCAGGAGAGGCTGGGAGCTGAGGGGAAACCCAGCAGGAGAGGCTGGGAGCTGAGGGGAAACCCAGCAGGAGAGGCTGGGAGCTGAGGGGAAACCCAGCAGGAGAGGCTGGGAGCTGAGGGGAAACCCAGCAGGAGAGGCTGGGAGCTGAGGGGAAACCCAGCAGGAGAGGCTGGGAGCTGAGGGGAAACCCAGCAGGAGAGGCTGGGAGCTGAGGGGAAACCCAGCAGGAGAGGCTGGGAGCTGAGGGGAAACCCAGCAGGAGAGGCTGGGAGCTGAGGGGAAACCCAGCAGGAGAGGCTGGGAGCTGAGGGGAAACCCAGCAGGAGAGGCTGGGAGCTGAGGGGAAACCCAGCAGGAGAGGCTGGGAGCTGAGGGGAAACCCAGCAGGAGAGGCTGGGAGCTGAGGGGAAACCCAGCAGGAGAGGCTGGGAGCTGAGGGGAAACCCAGCAGGAGAGGCTGGGAGCTGAGGGGAAACCCAGCAGGAGAGGCTGGGAGCTGAGGGGAAACCCAGCAGGAGAGGCTGGGAGCTGAGGGGAAACCCAGCAGGAGAGGCTGGGAGCTGAGGGGAAACCCAGCAGGAGAGGCTGGGAGCTGAGGGGAAACCCAGCAGGAGAGGCTGGGAGCTGAGGGGAAACCCAGCAGGAGAGGCTGGGAGCTGAGGGGAAACCCAGCAGGAGAGGCTGGGAGCTGAGGGGAAACCCAGCAGGAGAGGCTGGGAGCTGAGGGGAAACCCAGCAGGAGAGGCTGGGAGCTGAGGGGAAACCCAGCAGGAGAGGCTGGGAGCTGAGGGGAAACCCAGCAGGAGAGGCTGGGAGCTGAGGGGAAACCCAGCAGGAGAGGCTGGGAGCTGAGGGGAAACCCAGCAGGAGAGGCTGGGAGCTGAGGGGAAACCCAGCAGGAGAGGCTGGGAGCTGAGGGGAAACCCAGCAGGAGAGGCTGGGAGCTGAGGGGAAACCCAGCAGGAGAGGCTGGGAGCTGAGGGGAAACCCAGCAGGAGAGGCTGGGAGCTGAGGGGAAACCCAGCAGGAGAGGCTGGGAGCTGAGGGGAAACCCAGCAGGAGAGGCTGGGAGCTGAGGGGAAACCCAGCAGGAGAGGCTGGGAGCTGAGGGGAAACCCAGCAGGAGAGGCTGGGAGCTGAGGGGAAACCCAGCAGGAGAGGCTGGGAGCTGAGGGGAAACCCAGCAGGAGAGGCTGGGAGCTGAGGGGAAACCCAGCAGGAGAGGCTGGGAGCTGAGGGGAAACCCAGCAGGAGAGGCTGGGAGCTGAGGGGAAACCCAGCAGGAGAGGCTGGGAGCTGAGGGGAAACCCAGCAGGAGAGGCTGGGAGCTGAGGGGAAACCCAGCAGGAGAGGCTGGGAGCTGAGGGGAAACCCAGCAGGAGAGGCTGGGAGCTGAGGGGAAACCCAGCAGGAGAGGCTGGGAGCTGAGGGGAAACCCAGCAGGAGAGGCTGGGAGCTGAGGGGAAACCCAGCAGGAGAGGCTGGGAGCTGAGGGGAAACCCAGCAGGAGAGGCTGGGAGCTGAGGGGAAACCCAGCAGGAGAGGCTGGGAGCTGAGGGGAAACCCAGCAGGAGAGGCTGGGAGCTGAGGGGAAACCCAGCAGGAGAGGCTGGGAGCTGAGGGGAAACCCAGCAGGAGAGGCTGGGAGCTGAGGGGAAACCCAGCAGGAGAGGCTGGGAGCTGAGGGGAAACCCAGCAGGAGAGGCTGGGAGCTGAGGGGAAACCCAGCAGGAGAGGCTGGGAGCTGAGGGGAAACCCAGCAGGAGAGGCTGGGAGCTGAGGGGAAACCCAGCAGGAGAGGCTGGGAGCTGAGGGGAAACCCAGCAGGAGAGGCTGGGAGCTGAGGGGAAACCCAGCAGGAGAGGCTGGGAGCTGAGGGGAAACCCAGCAGGAGAGGCTGGGAGCTGAGGGGAAACCCAGCAGGAGAGGCTGGGAGCTGAGGGGAAACCCAGCAGGAGAGGCTGGGAGCTGAGGGGAAACCCAGCAGGAGAGGCTGGGAGCTGAGGGGAAACCCAGCAGGAGAGGCTGGGAGCTGAGGGGAAACCCAGCAGGAGAGGCTGGGAGCTGAGGGGAAACCCAGCAGGAGAGGCTGGGAGCTGAGGGGAAACCCAGCAGGAGAGGCTGGGAGCTGAGGGGAAACCCAGCAGGAGAGGCTGGGAGCTGAGGGGAAACCCAGCAGGAGAGGCTGGGAGCTGAGGGGAAACCCAGCAGGAGAGGCTGGGAGCTGAGGGGAAACCCAGCAGGAGAGGCTGGGAGCTGAGGGGAAACCCAGCAGGAGAGGCTGGGAGCTGAGGGGAAACCCAGCAGGAGAGGCTGGGAGCTGAGGGGAAACCCAGCAGGAGAGGCTGGGAGCTGAGGGGAAACCCAGCAGGAGAGGCTGGGAGCTGAGGGGAAACCCAGCAGGAGAGGCTGGGAGCTGAGGGGAAACCCAGCAGGAGAGGCTGGGAGCTGAGGGGAAACCCAGCAGGAGAGGCTGGGAGCTGAGGGGAAACCCAGCAGGAGAGGCTGGGAGCTGAGGGGAAACCCAGCAGGAGTGGCTGGGAGCTGAGGGGAATCCCAGCAGGAGCTGCTGGGAGAGGGAGGGGAAACCCAGCCGCAGTAGCTGGGAGCGGGATGGAAGCCTGAGGTGGGCTTCGCTCCCTTCTCTGCTTCGCTCCAGTCGCAGGAAGCCCTATTCTTGCAGGAATCTTCCTGCAACGGGCCTCTAGTGTATTTATATTTATATGTGAATAATCTTTTAGGTTCCCACCTACAAGAAGCTTGAAACACAGTAATCCTTGATGGTACACCTCCTTTCACATCCCAGGGGTGAATCAAACTTTAGCGAGAGAGCATAGAAGTGCAATGTGCTGATATTACAGATGAAGCAACCTTGGCTAAGAGAGGGGCAGGAAGTAGCCCAGGGTCACACAGCAGGTCAGGGACACAGCTGGGAAGAGGTTTCTGGAGCCAGGCCTGGTGAGCTTCCTACCACCAGCTGTCTGTCTACAGCGCTTGGGTGCGGAGGGCCTTCTCCCACCGTTCCTCAGAGAGCACCTCCATCAGACCCGAAACTCACTGAATCAGAGATCGGAAGTCCAGCCACCCCTCACGGCTGTGGTCAGACACCAGGAGCTTGGTTTTCAGAGCGGGACACTCAGAAGCCACAGAGTCCACCTCCGGGGCAAGGGCATCTGTGGTCACGATGCTCTGGGCATTAGACTCCTTTAGTCGGTAGAGAATGTCCTTGGCCTTCATCTGGGTTGTCCCTGGCATGAAGATAATCCCTGGGGCTGAGAAAGAAATTATCTGTTTTATTACCTGTTTCAGAACCATGGGCTTCAGGCCTTGCTTATCTGCATAGAAATCCCCTAACCTCTTGGTATGCAAAGACCTGCAGTATCAGTACCACCGGGCCACACCCCAAACCTACCGAATCAGCTGCAGTGTCAGCACCACCACGCCACACCAAACCTACCGAATCAACCTGCATTTAAAAAAATATATTCATATTGATTTCAGAGACGAAGGGAGAGGTAGATAGAAATACCAGTGATGAGAGATTCATTGATCAGCTGCCTCCTGCACAACGCACACTGGGGATTGTGTCTGCAACCTGGGCATGTACCCCAACCGGGAATTGAACCATGACCATAGGTCAATACACAACCACTGAGGCAAGGCAGCAGGGCAGAACCTGCATTTTAACAGGACCTCCAAGTGATTCCCATGTACATTCAAATTTGAAACGCTTGCCCTAACCTGTCTACTCTAGATGGGTGCAGCCAGTGGACAGGTGGATCCTACTTTGCAAGAGTTTACATGGGACGTGGGTGCACAGATGCAAGGAGGACAGAGTCTCTGACATCAGGAATAGCTGCATCCCAGCCCCCGCTTTTCTCCTCCCACCCCCTTCTCTTATCCCTGTGTCATTGGGAATCCCTTCTTTCCTTCATCCCTCACATAAATTAACCACATTGTCCCTTGAACTTTCCTACCCTCCCTCCCATCTTCTCTCACCAACAATTAGTTCCAGTATCTGTGTGCACCTATTGGAGTCTAACCTCACCACCCGATGCCTTGCCTTGAACTTCTGTGTTATTACCTGGGTAAGTTCCCCAGAGCATCGACGTTCCCCCCCACATTTCCTGTTGTTAGGACTAGAAGGCAATACAACCCTTGACAGCCATTTGGAAGCTTCCGGCCACAGGAGAACAAAGACCATGAAATGCTTTCTGGACACCAGGAAGCAGACCATGTAAGGAACTGGAACTGTCCTGAAGCCTCCTGATCGCACACCTGCACTCCATCCCCATTTCAAGCCCACCGGCTCAGCCCCCAAACCCACTGACGACAAGAGATTCCCACCCGTGACTGCTCATCAGGATGAAACTGCAGCTCCTGAGTGCTGCCATCAGCCCCTTGGCTCCTGGCTGTGCAGCCCTTCCCTTTGGATATCCCACTCCACCCTCCTTTCCTTAAATAAACTCAGTTTTCTTTAATCTCCTCTGAGATGGCCATTTAGCCTGACTGCCCACCACGTTCACCTTCACTTCTCTTCACTAACACCTGTGTCCTCTCTCCAGGAAAACAGCTCGCTCCCCATTCTGGCACTGAAGACGCTGCCCACGCTCCACCTTTCTCCCCACACCTCTATTCTCTAATTCAAAATGGCCATTCACATAGCCAACTCCTGACTCTAAGCCTTTGCATGTGCTAAGCCCGTTCTTGGAATTCCCTTTCTCTGCTTCTACTCCTCTTTAGTTATGCTTTTCCCAGAGGGCTCAGCTCATGTCTTAGCTCTACAGATGACATGGCTTCTTTATGCTCCCTCTGCTGTTGCTATTAATGTTTGATTCCACATGACTTTAATTCATTAATCCACTATTTTATGAGGAAAAAAAGAGTGGGAATATATAAGCTAGAGCATGAACAGACTGCTGTGTAAACATGTGATTCAACTGAAGTGATTTAAAAAAATCCATGAGTCCCATTCTGATTATAAATTAGATAGATAGATAGATAGATAGATAGATAAGCAATTAAAAGGGAAAGGGAAATTTCTACAGAAGAATGTTAACTAATGAATGTAGAGGGGGTGATATAAACAGAAAATCCTCATATAAAACCACCATAATAATATTCAACTCAGTCAAGAATCATCAGGAGATACTCAAACCATGGGGTGAAAGACAGTGGGGGAGCAGGATAGTCACTAGTCTCATAAGTGTTACCCCACAGACATCTTACTAGTCAGGAAGGGAAAAGGTGCCCTGACAAAGTTGAATACAACTCTTCTAATGAGATAAACAGTATCACGGATGGAAGACAAAACAACTGCGTAGACCCTCATGTGATGCACTGACAAAGACACAACACTGTCCTCCCAGCACTCCTGCTAAGATGTTTTAAGATGAATATAATCATGAAGCAAGAGTCAGAAACACCAATTTGTGTGCACCTCCTGCAAAGCAACTGGCTTAGGCACTTCAAAATGTCATTGCCATGCAGAAAAGGCTAGAGAGCCCTTCTAGATTAAAGGAGACCGAGAAGACATGACAAGTAAATGCAATGCATGATCCTCAATTGGATTTTGGACTTAAAGAAAGAAATGGCTGTCAGGGACATGATGAAGGCAATTGGGGACTGTTGGCTATGGATAGCTATCAGGTAACACATATTGTACCAACGTCAGACTTCTTGTTTGATAAGCCTGCTCTGGTGATGGTGAAGGAAATGTCTGGGATCCAGGGTTTATGGGTATTTACATGGTATTTATGGGTGTCACAATGTCTTTAGCTGACTCTGTAATAACTCAGTAGGGGGCTCAAATATGGCAAAAGGTTAACAGTCAATGAATTTCAAAAAAGTAATAATGTCTGAGACCGCAAGGGAAAGTGTGTGTGTGTGTGTGTGTGTGTGTGTGTGTGTGTGTGTGTGCGTGTGACCTTGCTTTTGAGCATATGTGAGGGTGAGGGAGAGAGTGAGGGATAAGGGGTAAAATATGTGAGGTCTGAGAAAGAGAAAGACTGTGAAGAAGAAAGAATGTAGGGACGAGGAAGCACCTAGTGAAGCATCCATCTTATATAAAAACTGCTGTTTGAACTTTTAACCCTGCATTTTGGGTTCTGTAATGCTTGCTGGCTTAAATAATAAGGAAAATAAGACTACTCCGATTTCAGAGAGGCCATTAAACCTTCCCCAGACGAAGTTATCAGTGCTGGCACCAGGCCAAGCCTTTGGTTGAGGCCTCAAAGCCCCAGCACATAGGGGCTCTTAAGGAACTTGCAAAGGGGACCAGAACAGAACCCCATATTTGGGAGACAGAGAGGGTAAGAAAGTATAAATACAGGAAACTTTCTGTGTGACAGGGCCCAGAATTTGAGAGGTAATTTTCCTCTGGGCCCGCGTGTAATAATAATAATAAATGTAACTCCATCTCTGTAAGCGTTGCTTGGTTCTTCTCCGGTTTTCTGTAACTCTAGTGTTCCTGGACCAGTTGGCTCCAGGACATCCCTAAGGTCTCTACGGGTCTCTCTGAGTCACTGACCTGTTCGGATGCAGCCCATGGCCACCAGCCACCACTCAGGCAGTCGAGGCAGAATCAAGGCGAGACGGTCTCCCTGCTGCAGGCCACAGGTCTGCGTGAAGACGTTGGCTGCGCGGCAGGTGAAGTCTGTCAGCTCTCTGAAACTCCACTTCACTTCGTCTCCTTGGCTGTTCACCCACCACAGGGCTGGGTTGGGGCCTCTCTTGCCTTCCTGGTCAAGATCACACACCATGTGTTACTTCCTGCTTCACAGGAAAAGGGCGCTTATTTCCCCAATCCACTATCATAGTCACATTCCATTGTATTTTATTTATTATTATTATTCTTTTTTAATCCTCACTCGAGGATATTTTCCCATTGATTTTTTGAGAGAGTGGAAGAGGGAGGGAAAGACCGAGAAAAATATGAATGTGATTGGTTGCCTCCTGTATGGGCCCTGACCAGTGCCCGGGCCAGGGAAGAGCCTGCAATCGAAGCATCTGCCCTTGACTGGACTCGAACCTGGGACCCTTTGGTCCATAGGCTGATACTCTATGCACTGAGCCAAACCAGCTAAGGCCTGATACCTCATTTTAAATCATTTAAAGAGCCAAGGAAAGTTAGGGTGTGATCCAGCCAACTTCTTCTGGTCTACTGTAGCCATCCTCCTCCCAAGTCATATGAAACCATGAATAGCTTCATGTCTCCAATTGAAGACTTAAAGCTCCATCCCCACGTGTCTTAGTTCCATGTAGACAGTGTGTTCCTCTTTGTGCCCCAGCATTCTCATCTAGGAAGTGGGGACAATATTACCTAGAAGGTCGTAAAGTCTAAATGAGTTATTTAATGAGTAAAGTGTACATAACAGTAGGTGCTCAATAAATATGACTATTATCATAATTGCTACACAATAGAAGTGGCTAATTTAGGCTCTGAATATCTTGTGGAATTAATTTTTAAAATTAAGTTGCCTCTAAAGGTGAAATTCATAAGAAGCAGACTGGGAAGATTCAGACACCTATTAGAAACATCACGTAAACAGACTAAAATGGCTTTGTTGGGGCTCTTAAAACAGTCAAGGATCTGCAGCAACCAACAAATGCCCAAACAGCTAAAGCCACACTCAGAATGGTAGGGCATGTGACGTTTGTGCTCACGTTTTTTTAAAAAAATATGTTTTATTGATTTTTTACAGAGAGGAAAGGAGAGGGATAGAGAGTTAGGAACATCGATGAGAGAGAAACATCGATCAGCTGTCTCCTGCACGCCCCCTACTGGGGCTATGCTCATTTTTGCACCCCCCTTCTCTGATGTGGTGCCCCAGGATTGGGAGGAGGTGTTGCCAGGTTCCCAGGCTCTTTTTGGGACAGAAGGAAAAGAGTGAAATTTATTTGCAATATTCAGTGGGGAGTGAGATGTAGCTGGAAAGGAATTTACTTATTTATTTATTCAATTTATAAATTCCCTAATAAAAACTAATGTTGAGTATCTTTTGTGCTTGTTTGCTGTCTGTGTGACTCTTAAGTGAGATGTCTGTTCAGAATCTTTTTCCAATTTTCTAAGTGGGTTGTTCCTTTTTTATTGTTGAGTTTGAGTCCTTTGTATATTTTGAATATGTCTTTTTTTTCTTTTCTTTATATATCTTTAAAGTTATTATTATTACTAGAGGCCCAATGCATGAAAATTCATGCACTGGAGGAGGCGTCCCTCAGCCCAGCCTGCCCTCTCTCACAGTCTGGGAGTCCCCAGGGGCGAGAGGTGACCCGGCGATCAGGGGAAGGCAACGCCCCATCACACCTCTGCTGCTGCCACTGCTGGCAGCGCAAGCCTCGGCCGGCCCTGGTTACCTGAGCCTTGGGCGGCCCTAGGTGGCTGGGCAGCGGACATCTGAGGCTTGCCTGTGCCTTGGGCATCGGCTGGGCAGCCACCATCCGAGGCTTGCCTGCACCTAGGGCTGGCCCTGGGCGGTTGGGAAGCTGCCATCTGAGGCATGCCTGTGCCTTGGGTCAGCACTGGCCGGCTGGGGGGCTGAGAGGACGGGGGGACTCCAGAGGCAGGCTTGTGGAGTGGCCGGGCCTGCCTGGGGCGTGGCTGAGGGGACTGGACGCCACCATCTTGTGGCTCAAATTTAATAATAATTATTCACTTATTCATTCAATATTAGTTAGATCTTATTATTTCTTAGGCCCTGTTCTTAAACCACAAGGATTCAGGCAATACAGAAACTTATGAGTAGAAAAGGTTCTCAGAAACAAAAGGATTTCTTCAAATTTCTCATCACATTTTTCCTCCCTGAATGTTAGCACTGAAAATGGTTTAGTGTACATTTTTCCATCAAATTTTCCCTGACCGATGTACAAAAATGATCCTTTGACTCAGAGATGATTGGAACCAAAGAATGTAGCTCATCTGAGATAAGATTAATATATGTGCATATATGTGCTGCTCCAGCAAGGCCAATGGTGAACCTGAGGAGGGGCAGTGAAGGATTGAAGAAAAGACAGACAAGAGAATACAGCTGGGGCTTGGTGGATCTCCTGTGCCTGGATGAGGACACAAAAGACCCAGCCTGCAAACCAATGCTTTATTTTATAGTCTGATTAAAACAAGGGTAGATTAACATGTATACAAATGTTCTTGTTTTGGCAACTTGCTGCACCTCCCACAGCCCATTAGCTACTTAGGAAGGAATTAGGGAGGGCTACAAGGTCAGGCTTAATTATGCTAGGAGAGGTCTGCCCCTTAGGCTGGGACTTGTTTGTGGCCCTGCCACAGGTCAGCCCGAGGCTTGACCCTAGAGCCGCTCCCTACACATATACATGTGTGTCTTTACAGCTTTAAAAAAATCAGTGCTGTGAAAAAAATTCTTGCCCAACAGGTTAAAGAATATTAACAAGTATTGATGACAAGTTGTGCACTGCTTACATACAGGGAGCCTAGTATAGTACACAAGATTTCTGCAGGATTTTAAAAACGATGGAAAAGCTGGTATATCAAGTAGAAAACAATTGTTGCTCAGAATTCAGTCTGTGTTAGATCCTAACTCCTGCACCTTGAAGAAGATATCCCTTTAGTAGTTATCTATTTTTGTGCTAAGGATTAATTTGATAATGTGATGTTGACATGAAGCTGTTTTCAAGAAGATAAAATACAACCCTTAAACTAGATTTGAAATTTAAAGTTTTAAGGGGTGAGATGAAACTAAGAGATATTGAGAAATAGTTTTAAAAGATAAAACACTGAGTAAGTAACTCAGCAGTAGAAAGAAATGAACAGCCCTGGCCAGTGCGGTTAGAGTGTCTGCCCTTGCTCCAAAGGTTTTGGGTTTGATTCCTGGTTAAGGGCAAGTACCAAGGTTGCAGGTTCGATCCCAGCCAGATATCAACTCATGGATGTGTCTCTCACATGTTTGTTTGTCTCTCTTTCTCCCTCTCCTTTCTCCCTCCCCCTCCCAATCTCTTTAAAAAAAATCAATGGGAAAAATATCCTCTGGTGAGGATTACAAAAGAAAAAGAAAGAAAAAAAAAGAAAAAGAAAAAAAGAAAGAAACAAACAACTAATCCACAAAAACATTATGCTAAGTGAAAGAAACCAGACACAAAAGGGTGCAACAGCAGGTCTGTGGTTGCCTGGAGCTCAGGGTGGGGTGGGAGGGGATTGTCTGAGAAAGGTCAAAGAAAGCTTTTGGGGTGATAGAAATAGTCTAGAACTCAGTTTCAGGTGTACAACCTAATGATTAGACACTTATATAACTTATGTATATTTCAATTGTAATTGAAAACAATTTTTAATTATAAAAAAATAAAGCCCTGACAAGTTTGGCTCAGTTGTTAGAACTGAGGCCTGTGGCCAAAGGGTCTGGAGTTAGATTTCCAGCCAAGGGCATGTACCTCAGCTGTAGGTTCATTCCCAGACCCTGACAGGGCAACTAATCGATGTGTCTCTCTCACATCAATGTTTCTCTCTCTCCCTTCCCCTGTCTCTAAAAAATCAATGGGAAAAAATATCCTTGGGTGAGGATGAATAAAGACATCCAACTCACAATAAAACAAACAAAACCTTCACACATGTGAGTTTATTGCATGTAGAAAAGGTTTGCCTCATATTCTTTAAGATTTTTATTTATTGATTCATTTTAAAGAGGGAGGAAGTGTAAGAGAGAAACATTTGTTGTTCCATTTATTTATGCATTCATTGGTTGATTCTTGTATGGGCCCTGACCAGAAATTACACCCACAACCGTGGTGGGTTGGGACGATGCTCTAACCAACTGAGCAACCCAGCCAGAGCGACAAAGCACTTTCTTTTGTTTTATAATGAATTCTTTGCCAACACACACACACACACACACACACACACACACACACACACACACTCAGGAGAGGGCACATAAAAATGTTGGATTTCTAACTTAAGACTGTTAAGTTTTGAGGGAAGTTCAGGGAGCAGAGTGGACCCCAGTGGTGTGCCATCTGCAGAGTCTTTAATAGGAGGAGCACCAAGATCTATGAATTGTAAGGCAGGTTTCAAAATTAATTTACTCCACAAACGTTTGTTGAGAAAGTTGTCAGACACCCCACATCCCTAGAGAGACACTGATCATGCTTAAGGCAATTGGATAAGTGAAACAGACAGATCAGAAGTGTTGTGAGAATGAAAATTAATGGAATGAGGGTGCTAGGGCACATTGGGAGATACGGAGGAATTGACAGCCACTGATAACAATGATATAAAACCCAACAAGAACAGGTATTCCATGGGGAATCCTATTTACTTGGTGGTTATCTCCATAGGTGGATGCATAAACTAATGAGTAAGACTATTATGAAGATAAATGCGAAAATGAAGTGCTGGGCCCCTTTCCTCCTCTGTGCATCCTCCCACTCCAGCCCATCTCATGGTCTACAAGGTCTCCATCAGATTTTTGGTCTGGACAGTAATGGAAGTCAATTTATAGTCTGAAGGCAAAGATTTGGCATCTTCAGATCATGAGACCAAGCTTAAAAAAATGTATTTTAGAACTAGACAATCTGGACCCAAATTCTGCTCCTCTCTTTAGGTATGTAATTTCTGTAGGTAATGTAAAACTAGGATACTCAGTTTTCTCAACTGGGAAATCCTATCTAATAAAGAGGGAATATACTAATTAACCCTCACACCATCACAAAGATGGCGGCACCCACAGCCAATAAGGAGGGAATATGCTAATTGACTGTCCCGCCCTCAAAGATGGGGCTCTCACAGCCAATAAGGGAATG